TTACGACGAAAATTGATACGTGACGACTTTTTATACGTGTTCCTTGAGATTAACGTGCCATTTCTCATTTCCATAATATTTTCATATTTGTGTATTTATCTTAACTTTGTTTCAAATTAATATTGATTATTTAGGTAGTGAAATAAATGTATAGAAATGTAATTTTACTTGATAAATACTGAGTGGCTCCTTTGATGCGCCACTGAAAATACGACACTGAGCCTTACAATATCCTTTAAAAAAGCACATCCGTCGAGATATTATTTATATCATTCGCTTATCTAACCATATTTGATCGTATTTTTTCTAATCTCGCAATTTTTACGCGGAAAAACTCGCTGGCTTCGAATCTCCGAAAAGAATGAACGTACCGATGGAACAGTTTACGCGGCTCTTGATTTGCTGTCAGTCAATTTGCTGCCTGTCATATTGCTTTTTACGAGGATAACCGCGTCAGATCGCAATCTCCAGCCGGTAGATTTAACGCGTAATTTTGCAACCGTGCGTGTATACGCATCACGACATTTGGCAATTACCTCAGCACGTACGAGGATATAACGTTGCCGGTTTGCTCGGTCGAATACTCTTGGCGTGGATGACAAGCTATAAACGGTATGAGCGAGAACCCGCGGCACACACTAAAACGCGTTTCGAGACGCGTTTTTGGCCGTCAAACGTCTAATACATCGGGAGTTTTCGAGCGGGATCGGGCGAACACTCGTTTTACTTTATTCGCCTGTCTCTGCTGTGAGCGCGAAATGAGTTTATCAGCTACAACACGTGACGTGAAAATCTCAAAATGAAGGCTACCCGGCTGTAACCCATTACTGTTTTTACGGCTTTAAAATTGCTGTCACACACTTAAGTGTGTTCATTCACCTACCAATCAATGTCTTAAACATCGGTTTGTGTGCCCGCTAACTAACCTCATTAGCCGCTCAATCAGTCTATCGATTTATCATTATTGTACTAACACATTGTACGCGTTACTAGGAAACGTTGCGGCTATGCAGGGAAGTTAAATACCTATATCCATCACGAGACAAAAAACAATGTCCACTTGCGATGGCGGGTATCGGGAAAGGTCGTATTTTACTCTCGAAATTTCTTGGAGTGGAATCTCGCTCGAAACGAAATGAAAAAAAATATTTTCACCCAAAGTGAAAATACTGAAATAGTGGAAATACTGTCACTCGAAATCGCAAAAGTGAGTGTCTCACTCGAGCTTACAGTGGATTTTGACACGATGTGAATGAATGTTCCGATCGATTAGAGTGAATCTGCTTCCACGACGGTGGAATACATCAGATGTATTCCACTGTACTCTCTTCTAGTGTACTGCAAATTCAAGTGTGTTATTTTCACACACGTAAGCGTCTAAAAATTATACGTCTGACTGTAGTTTTCTTTTTACATATTTCTTGCCGTTTTAGGTTACGTCAAATTATAAATTACGACACGTCCGATTGGGTCGAATTGCATAATTTAAAACGACAAGAAACGTACGGGAAAAGGCTGAAATAACGCACTTGGATTTGCAGTATGAAAATATTCACTCTGATTCACTCTGCACGAGTGAAAAGTCACTCGAGTGTCTCCCCGGCTGTCACTTTGCTTTTCCGGTGGCGTGCCTTTAAATTTGACTTCAAGAGGTTTGGAGGATACGCGTGTGCGGGGAGAGTCACCCGTAATTTCATTAATAGCTACAGCCCCGCGACAAACGAATATACTGGCGTTTCTTGTTTGCGCTTTCTTTGAACGGTTCACCGGGGCGACGTGTGTCTTGCCCCGAGACAATGGCTAGAGGCGGGGCGAAGTGTAAAGGGCGAGGACAGGCCGCGCGCGTCATCAGAGTGTACCCGGAGGACGGCTCTATCCCTCTTTTCATTGCCCCTGCAGTCTGCCAGGGCTGTTTAGCCGGTATGCCACTGCCCTGCGGGGGCGGCGGTAAATACACGCACCGGCGCATATTTCGCGGAAACGCTTTGGCGCTTTCGTGCGTTCCCCGACGAGCGTATATACATATATATGTACATTAACGAACGATACCATCGCCATGTAATATTTGCTTCGGGCTTTCTCGTTTCCCTATTATCGCCGTTAAAGCCAGACGACGTGACGAGAGGGGTTGTCGTTCTCCCGATCGCTTCGACGATTGTGATTTGCGCCACCGCTCTAACACCATCACCGCCGCCGCCGATTGTTACGCGCACGTAACCGACGATCTGCTTATCTGTTGTTTTCCTGCTCGATAGTCCGCAAACTAATTCCGGCAAAGTGGATGGCAGTACGACGCCTCCTCTCATCGATCCATCGCCGTGACGCTTAATTTTCTTCCAGTGTATTTATCGAATCCACCCCGAACCCACCGCGCCGGCATCCTCTAACGAATTAATAGCGCGAGTACGAGATAAATTTTCAGTGACACGCGGAGCGCGCGCGCGCTATGTATGCGCGCAGGCCAGGTAAATGAGAGTGGGGTGCAGGTAGGACGAGCGACGCGAAAGCGAAAGGGATGGCAGAACGGTTTCGTTCCGCTGAAATTATGTCCTTCCGCCGTGCGGAATCTTGCCACCTCGGGATCCAGGCGCGATTTAATTAAGATACGAACAATCCGGGAGGACGAAGGAGGCACGCCCGATGGAAATATTGGAAAATATGAGGATCGTGCCGGCGTCGCCTTCGTCATCGTCTGCACTTTTCCAACGCTCGGCGGTTACTGCCACCGCATAATAATAACGGACATTCTCAGGATCGCGAGGTGAATACCGGGTCGATAATTAAGCGGCGGGGCTTCTCCGCCGGCTGTGTGTAAGCACCGCCGGAGAGGAAAATCCGCGGCCACGAGCAAAACAGAGATCAGGAGCCTCGCGATGATCTCGATCGAAAGCGATCGCGTCGAGTTGTATGCGGAGGAAAAGCGAGCGCGGACGAATTGGCGATCGTATTCACGGCGGGCGGCAAATACGCACACACAGCATAGAGATCAGGCGTATTAAAGGGTTTCCTAAAGCCGATGACGAACTAGATAACGTAAGGGTGATGATCCTGAAAATGTTATGTTACGTAAACAGTGACACGATCACGCTATTCTGTTTCTACATCTCGTGCATATACATTTTATGTAAATGTATGTGCGATATAAGTGTGAATGCGATGAATGTACGATATTCTATTTTACTATATTTAATGGACCTAGCCGAGACATATAAAAATGTTTCTGCAAACTTTTCGTAACTTTTTAAGCCTCTAAATTTCATTGAAAGGGTGTAAAAATGTTCTTTAAAAATTTCCTGGTTGCAGTATCGACGCATTCGGTATGTACAAGCTGCAGGATTTCTGTGTGGGTCAGATGAATATTTACGCTAACTGACAGTGAGGTAGAGACGTCAATATTGCAATTTTTAATCGTTTTTGTGATATATTGAGCAATGCTCCATTTCGTTTTTGCGCGTACATTTATTGTGCAAGAGCATTTATAATTCCGCATCCATTAAGACGTAAACTTTTCAGAAGAACATTAGTATCCTACCGGTAAAAACAATATTTTAAAAAATCCGGATTTTGCCCATTAGTGGAAATGTAAAAAAAACATAGTGAATCTTATATATCTTTTGACTTGCTGAACACGATGGTGCTATTAGTTTTCGTTGAAAATGTAGGGAAACAGTTCTGAGTATTCGGAATCGCGTGAAAGATTTTTCATCATTACGTATTTCTATACCGTTCTAAATTCTCAACCGCTCTCAGGGCCCAGGGACGACGAGCATGGATGTAGCAGTTTCCTGTGCCCTCTTTTATTTTGTATTTTTTGTATTTTATGTATTTTTTGATTTTTTGTGTTTTTGTATTTTTTTTTGTATTTTTTTTTTGTATTTTTAAATCGTTCCATGTTTTGAATTTTTCTATATTTCTGATGGCCTTCATATTCTTCTTCATCCCTTTGTTCTCCATATTTTTTTAATGTTTTCATCATTTTTCTCGAATTTTTTGTTCTCCATATTTTTCAAATGATTTTTTTGATTTTCGCATCGTCAAATAAAAGCAACATGTACTTGCTTTGTGCTCAGAATTATTTCTGTTGCCTATTTGGAGCTAAAGATACTTTTATTCAGTTTTCTTCGTCCGATTCATCATCCGTTTCATAGTTATTTTCTTTTTATTACAATTTCCCTTTAAAACTAGTTTTCTCAAATGATTTGTTTCATTTTGTTTCTGAAGCATTCTGTCAATTGTGGCATTGCTGATTTGTGAATTATTTAAAAGAAATAATATTATATTCGAAAAATATTAAAGAACTTTTATATTTCGATACGATATTTAATATACAATTGAAATACATTTTTTTTTATTGAAAACGAAATATCATTTCCTCTAAATAATATTGCTTTCTTTATCAAACAACATGGCTTATTCAGTGAAATAACATTTTTATTCAAACAAAACGATATTTGATATTCAATTATGTTGTTTATATTAAATAAATTCAGATCAAACAAAACGTATAACTAAATCCATAGAAATTTCTTTTTCTATGTAGAATCAATACATTGGCCCGTATTCTGAACTCTCTTTTATCGATAAAAGTGCTTCTAAAAGTGGCTTAGGAACCACCTGATTGGCTGAAAAGCCACATTTAAGGCACTTTTATCGATAAAAGAGAGTTCAGAACACGAGTACATTATTTCTCGTTGTAGTCTTCTTTATTTTAAAAGTAAAGATTGCGATAAATTTTTCAAATTGATCTTTTATATACTCAAAACTATGACAACTGTACACTGTGTGTGTGCGTATGTGTGTGTGTACGTGTTTATGTGGATAAAAATACATTTATAGGTATTTAAGTAAGGGCATATCAGAAAAGTTTCTGGCTCCCGCTGTGCCGAACTAAGCCCGCAAAAAAATAAATATGCCGGCGAAGGATTAACTTTACGGCTCTCGCAAATATTTCCCCTTCGCTTTCCCCGTTGCTAAGCATTTTTTACGGTTTGTTGTTTCAGTCGGCACGATGTACGTGTGTATGCTGTATGCTATACTCTTCCTCAAGTTATGGTCGTACGTGCAAGTGAACATGTGGTGCCGCACGAGCATCCGCCAAGCGAGCGCGGCGCAGGGCAGAGTAAGACGTCGCTCGCTGTCTTATAACGGTCTTCACTGTAAGTACAAACTGATGTATACGTAATATGCCTCCATGTGCCTCACCGATCGCTTCAGCACCGTGTTTTACATGCCGTACGCACTTGTCACGTATTCTCGACGCGATAAACAAGCGCAGTGCGATATCTAATATACCGGCACGCGAGCTGTATCGTGCAACGCGCACGATCTCACTTTCTTGGAGGCAAAGGGACCCAAAAAAGTGGCGAGAGCATACAGAAAACACGAGGAAAAATAGAAAAAAGACTCCCCCCTGCCCCGGCAGCCTCGCACCGGCGCTCCATGGTTTACCTCACGTGCATTATCCGCACGCGAATCGCGCGGTGAATCTGTTAAAAGACTAATGGCCGCTCACGAAAACTTCCGATTCGCGGGAATGACCTTTCGCGAACAGCCAGCCGGTTGCGTTCCTTTGACTTTTTTCCCTTCTTTTTACAGACACTACGCGCGGTAACGCACCGCCGAGGGTTATACTTAACGGATTCGTTCGGGCGGCAGCAGCCGAGTGACGTAAATCTTCGTCGTAACGAGCGTCGACGCGTATATTCGCGGATAATGCACACGTCCAAGTAGTGCAAACACGTCCTACGAATCGGTAATCCACTGCGTTCGCGGTATTTGCCCGCTCCTGAAGGCTCGCGTGTGCAGCGTCGCGGTACACCACATGTGTGCGGTCCGTTTACGTGCACGTATATATGCGCGCATTCACCTATCCGCATATATGCGCGCAGGGGGGGGGAGGAAATAATTTCCACCCAATTTAAACTGACGATCGGGTCCGCCTGTGTTTCCGGTGTCGGACGCATCGCGGTATATCGATTATTCACGGGCCTGACCGGTAAAGTCAAATTATACGAACGGCTTTTCCCCGATGAACCTCACCAGCGCGCGCGCGCGCGCGCGCGTGCGGAGTATTAACCCTTCCGCCGAGCCACCCTCGCAGAGACACCGAAGCGCCGAGAGCCTGGTGCGTTTGCACTTTTAATTGTGATTGCGCACACGATCGATCTACACGACGGCCGGCGCGCGACGGAGTTGATTGGCGCGTGTGTCGAATGGATTTGGATCGTCCGATGCGTGATGATTCATACGATGTCGTTATGCGAAAGCCCGTTTTACGCCGGGCGTACTCGAAAAGGGCGGAGAAAATTAAGGTGAAATATCATTAGATCGTGGAAGCAATGGGCGGCTGGAAATCGCCCGGAGCTGCTTTTGTACGCGGCCTTGCGGGATTATCTCCCCCCCCCCCCCCTCCCCNCCCCTTCCCCTGAGAGAGAGAAAGAGATAAGGGCTGTCGATAAATTTAAATTTCATTAAATCTGAAAACAAAATCATAAAGAGTTCTTCGTTAGAGGAGCTTTTTCTGCGCGCTTTGTAGAGGCGCGCGCGAATGCCGCTGATCGCAAAAATACGAACGCGATAAGCAAAATGTTCACGCTTCATCGAAGCGAGAATTTCCTCGTGGACGCGCAATTTCCAACTTTCCTCTAAATTTGGCGTCCGCCGGCGCAGACCGGTCCAGCTTTTTCGCGGCGCTTCGCGCCGAAAATTAAGATAGATATTCCCCGATATATGGACACCGGGCGTAAAGTCGCGTTCGACTTCCCCGTTTTGTTCGCAGCTAATTAGGCCGATTATATATCCGAGCGTCCTCCCCGGGGGGGGGGGGNGGGGGGGAGAGCGTCCTAATTACGACGCAAAAAGTGACGGGGCTCGATATAATTATCGAGTGGCTGCGACGCCTCTCGACGTTCATCGTCTCATCGCGAGTCGACGGGCCGATCGATCGATAGACAAATGCAATCGACAAAAGCCCACCTCGGGACTCCGTTATTACGAGTAGCTCGTGTAATCTAGCGCGCGCACGGACGCCGTGTAATTTTCGCTCTCTCTATCTGGGCCCGTGCTCCCGTGGCACGTCGTATTATTACGTCCCCGCGTAATGACGACGTGGAGAGCCAGCCACGGGACCTGTAACGTAGCCCCACGTATACGCATCGCGAGGTAGGGACCCACCCTTTTCCTTCGTCACGGCTCGATCGATCAAGAGAAAAATGAAGCTACGTTGGCTCTCTCGCGCGGCGACACGCGCAAAGAAAACTGCTATCCTCCTTGATTAACGTGTCTCTTCGTTTTCTCATTGTTCTCGGAATAATTCAATAATCAAGCGGAATACTTCGTTAGAAAATCGGGATATGATTACGCCAATTTGGAAAGTTCAAGTGAATAGGGAGACGAACAAGGTAAATTGGCGCGTCAAGTATGATGATCAGATGTAAGAGTAAGTGCCGGGAGATCTCACTGCCCGGGGAATTAAGTAGTTCGCGAGTAAGCCGGAATAAATGGGAGGGAATCAACGAGCGAGTACTTAATTTAAGGCGAGAGTGGATGTTGAAGTTTCCTTAGGCCCGTGTCGCGACAAAGACGCCGAGCAATTTACGGGTCTGCAGGATTGCACGGTCGAAGATCACGGGCAATCGTATCGATTGGCGAGAGCTTCGTCTCCGGTAGCGCCCGGTGGTGCTTAATTTGTGAGAGACTTCTCGTTCGAGCTTCGTGCCCTCGTGCTGGGGTGCTGTCTCACCTCCTCCCCTCACGCCCTCTCCGGCGTCTCTGCTTCTCGATATCGATCCCTTTTTTCGCCGTTGCCCATCCGCCGCGCCAGTTTCGAGATATATGAACAAGGGTGGTCTTAAGCGCGAGGCATCCCTCGGCACAAAGGCGAAATTACGTCGGCCCTCGAGACGCCCTCGGGCTGAGATTGAAAAAAATAGAAATTACACCCGTCGCGAACGGAAGCCCGCTCGATCCCGTCGCGTTCCCACGAGATTCCGTGTTCCCCGACGAACCCCGATCTTCCACCCTTCTGTGACCTCCCTCGGACGTGATACGAGCCGCTAAGGAGATCTCGAGAAGCGCAGGTAGGAGGACGCGTGGTTGACCATCGGCGGCGCCGTAAATTTCCCAACACAATCCGCCGAACGCTACTTCCTGTCATTACTATCACCTTGATAAAAGAAAAAAAGAAAGAAGAAAGAACCGAGATATTCGCGAAGGAAGCTAAATTATAATCTTATATTCCTCGTTAGGTTTTGCGCTCAGATTCGCGGCATACGGAAAAAAAGGAATTAGCTGTTCGTATAATACTAACTGAAATTTCGTTATCAGACCCAGCTTTCAGTTGTGAGAGCTTAAAACTAGGTACAGATACAGAAAATCAACGAAATTAACCAAACTTCAGTTGTATTACACGGATAGCTAATTTTTACCTATGAGAAGCTATTAATAATTTTTAGCCGTGGGAGTTAATTCTCTTTTTCCGCGTGTGCAAGACATCACGAATGCAGCACAGTGATTAAACTTCTCGCTTGGCAGCAGCGTCATCGAAAATAATTGACAGTTTCCTGATCTTGACTTATACAGCGTATGTACAGCAAGTATTTACTGCTGTATGTTGCGTATTAACGCTAATATTATGCTCTAGCGCAACAATGTCATCTTACGATGCAGCTGAGTCATCTACCGCGTTAGGCTAAGAGGCATCAGGCCCTGTCAAGAACGCGAACGAACCTCGAGACAAAGCCCACCTCGCCACAAAGGTTTCCTCAAAATTGACGCCTACCTCTGCTTCACCGTAATGAAATCAATTACACGGCACGACGATCGATCAGCAATTCGATCGAAAAAATTACAGCACGAGATCGAACTAGCAGACTTCGAACGATTTTACGTCGAAATGAATGAATTCAGTCGGATGTGTTTTGCAAATTGCAATTCTATTCGCGAAAAGTGCACATTTTCAGCACATTGTTATCGCGATGTGTTGTAATAATATTAATAGGTACGAATTATAAATCTGCATATTTTTCATCGCGATATTATAAGGGATTCGAGCATTTTAACATTTGTATAATCGGCAGGCCCCTCCCCCGGGGATATATATATATATATATATAAGTTACGAATAAATGCGAGCTCGCGTGCAGACCAAGCTAGAGAAGGGTTTTTAATTAATAATCCGGCAGCGCTCCCGGTTTACCTGCACGGTAGCTGAAGATCACAAGCTTAATCAAACAAATTTGCATAGAATATTAACGAATCATCAACCATTTCCGAGTGCCTCCGCGTAATCGTACACTCGCTAACTTTGTGTTTGGCTGTTCGCCGAAATCACATCGCAATTTCATTATTTCTACTAGCAAGCATACGTAAATCACGGCGCGCCTCGTCCGAATCGTTTTCTTTTCCGTTCGTGTTTTCCGCAATTTCGTAACGACATTAATTATATAGACAATTCGCTTTTTTGACTCGCTTTCATCATTTCCGCGCGCCACTAACTACCCCTTTCTCGTCGGGAATCAATGCGATTTACGTCTAAACATGCGCTGCGTAATATTACGCTTCGCGAGCGTTGAAATTGAACACTCACCATTTCGCGATAATATCTATCGAAGAAACCCGTCGTCGTTCCAACTGCGTCGCGCGCTCTGCATCCGTCAAGCTCCATCCTCCTAAGTATCGAGCATCGTAGGTGTCTCCCTGCCGATCGTTCTTTACTCACTTCATTTCACTTCACTCGCGGCCGCGATTATTTTAACGGCACGTAGCGATTTAGCGGAAAGTAATAAATTCCAGTATTTCGAAAATATACTCGAAAGTCGCGTGTAAATAACAGCGAACGAAGATCATTTTCTTCACTCTTCCGACGAGAATGAAGACGAGGAAACATCACGTTTCACGGACTTTGCGCTCTGTCAACAGACGAGGTTTTCGTTTCGCAAGAATTCTAACTGTTAGAGTAAACGATAAGTAGGCGTGCCGAAATTAATAATAATTCTATATCGGACTTGTTCTCCCGCGTCGGGTTGTAATGTCACTTTGGTAATACACTCGCAGCACGTATCGCGTGCAAAAAATCCAGAATCGTGAAATTAAAATTCGCCAGCGAAATAAACGCGACGCGAATTAAAAACCGTCGCGAGATCTGTCAACGCGCCTCGTAGGCGAAAAATCACAAGTGGCGTGAGATTCTCACGCACCACGGCTTCGCGACACTTGCGCGAAGACTGCTCGCTGCGACATTGCGCAAAGACTACTCCGCAATATCTCTGCGAAGTACATTTTCTCTTCCGGAACATTTCCGGAATATTTCCGTGAATTTAATGAAACCTGCATTTCTTTAAAGGCGTAATCGCGCACGTAAACGCGAGTGTAAGTATAAAAAAAATTGCCAGCTAAAAATTGCGTACGCGAGCAAACTATAATCTTGAGTATTTCAAATTTCTATTTTTACTATAAATGAAATTGTGATACGTGAATAAAAAAACTACGATTTTACTCGACTACATGAGTGAAACTGGTATGTTAGATTGTTTTGCTTTAGCAAGATTTTTTTACTGCGATATTAAATTTGACAAGCTTTGTTTCTATTCACGAAAGTTAAAAGTTAAGTTGCAATGTAAATATATGTACTAGAAATTTCGAAAATTAATAGCTGCGATAATCGCGAATCTAATGCGAACAAAGTAATCGCGAATTCCGCGGTTGATGGTGCAATTCTGACGCGCATTATAGGAGAAACTGCCCGAATTCCAGGTGGTTTCTTAATTCCGGGTGGTTTCTTAATTTTGGGTAGGTACTTTCCTTTGCTCCTAAATGCTGTACTCTGTAACTGACTCTTATAACTAGTGGGAAAGGCTGTGGCTAACAACTATTTGGAGCGGGATCGCGCTATCGTGTATGTATATTACGTTGCTTTTGAAATTGTGATTTCGATGGGAAAAAACATTCTTCGGAATTTCTTGCGCAAATGCACTACGTAATCAAGATGAAAGATATTTCAATAGTGTTTATATCAAAAAATAGTATAAAGGTAGTACGCTATTTTAGGCATTATTTCAAAAATGCTAAATAAAATAGGAACCACCATATCCGGAATTAGAAATCTTTTTATTCGAAAATAAGAAATTTTCTTTCCGAAAATATTACTCTATAGCTTCTCTAAATAAAAAGTTATTGCAATGTTTGTTGTCCAAAACAATTGAAGAATCATATTCAATAAATAGTTATATTGAATAATTTTGTAGCTCAAATAATTATGATAAGAATTAAAGAGAAAAAGTATTATATAAATATGTTTAGATAGACGTTTAAAGTCGTGATTCTCCAACTGTTTTAAACAATGTACTTCGTACAGAGGTACATACATATACATGCAAAACACAACATACTAAAACTTGAACAAAGTAAATCGCATTGATTTTAACGAGTCTTACAAATGCCTACCACCACCATAAATCTTTGTATTCAACACCTTTCAGTGTTCAAACCCATTTTTCTTACTCTACGAAATACCGCCAACTCAGGGCCGGCCACGTTCTGCTTCACGATCTGGAACAAAAGGATTGCCGATTAGCTTTAACGGTTTGCGATTTAACAGGCAAATACATATATGTTGAACGAGTAGCCCTTTGCGATTATAATTTCAGTATTTTTATTTACTGAAAATTATACCTCAAATTTCGATCGCAAGGAGTTAAAAGGAGGAATACAGAAAATCTGTATATATACCTTCGAGCCGACCCTGCTCGACCCGAATCCTTCGATACTGCTTCCGCAACCACCGGAACTACAGCTGCCTTTGCCACGACTGCAAGTTCCTTCAGATCTGAAATAGAAAATAATTTTTCCAGTTATACATAGTTACAGTGTGTGAAATAGAGACAGCAATAGTTTTCGATTCCGATGAATCATTTGATTTCGGTGCAAGGTGCTCGATTATAGGTACGTTTTTTATCGAAATCTATTTTTATATCTAAAAAAAAAAGGAAAATATGGTAATTACCCTTAATTTTAAAACGATTTCCCTATTCGCTATGATCCCGCCAGTACGACAATCGCATTCGCAAAACGACGCAATTTGTCTCTCGAATATTTAATTAATATTTTAATTAATTTTTTGATTAACTTACAAAACTCGGAAATAGCGCGCGACGTGGCCCGGTGTGTTCATTTAGGGGTCAACAATTGTAATGGTGGCATGTGGCGCGTACCTATGTATGTGTTGTTTTGAAGAACGGACGGCCTTCGGCGCAGCACGAGTCATCATTTGAGAACACCGTTACACGATATATTTAATTATTTCATGTATCTACGTATTTTATGTTATAATATCAATATTTTACATTGCATTATAATATTAAATTGCTTAGTACGCGCGCGTTCGAATAGTTTTTATTGCACTCTATATTGTGTACGTACATGTATATACCGATTATTTAAATTTTAAGGCGACACATTATATTAAAGCCACGAAATATATTAAACAAAATGGTACAGAAAAGTTATAAATTTACTTTTGAAGTAATTTGATCCGAAACGGATCGTTCAATACCGTTAGGTTGCAGTATTAAGAAGCAAACTATGATTAAAATTGAGATGTCGCGGGAAAGAGGCAAAAATGATTTTACATGCCTTTCTTTAAATGGAAAAACAAAGATAAAAAATAGACGATGAAACACTCTCAACTGATTACTGCAAACGAATGACAGTGATTAGACTCGAATTATCAATAGTGCTAACTTCGCACGGTTCTCGAAGAATAGAAGAATATCAAAACCGAGACATTTCTGTCGTCCATGTAACGATAGATGGTGAACGAACAAGAGAGAAGAAAGGCAACGTTTATTTCGTTATTCGAATCGCGGAGGTCGGGACGAAGAAGATGAGACGCGACGAAGTAAAAAGGGTCAGGAGGAATTTAATTTGGTCGAATTCTTCTACATTTATTACGGAGGCCGTAAAACGACGCCGGGAGTCGCATTCGCCGACGTGGACGTCGATCGGCGAGAGAATGAGTCGCGAACTCGGCGGCGCGACGTCCGACGCTCGACGCAGCCTGGATGCTGTCGAGTTCGGGTAGCAGCGCAACGGCAGCCGGCGCAACCCGGGCTTATTTGAATTCCAGATTGGATTATCCATCGGATTTGGATAATTGAAGGGATTCTATCAGTTACTGGTCCGCGCCGGGGTGAGATTAGACGCGCAGATGGAGAATCCGCACGCCTAGCGCGGCGCCAAGGAATTCCGCTGTTTCCGGCCGAGTGAATCGTATCGGCCACTCGGTCTCGTTGCTTAAGAACAGCTTGAAAGACTTGAGAACAGCGGAGAGAGAGAAAGAGAGAGAGAGAGAGATTGCGCAAGTGGAAATATAGTTATAATTCTGGAAATACCATTTTAAATCAGCGATCCAGCAATCGAGCAAAATAATGACGACCTGATTTTCGTGTTTGAGCGAAGAAATATGTGTATAAACATTAATTTTTGTAAGATATTCGCGAAGCTTCCGGTCGTAAACATTTGTTTGTACGTATCAGCCTGCCGCACATCGAATCGTGGGAAATTATTTTGCCAACACGGCTGAAAAAACAGAACAACGTGAGACACGTTGTTCTGTTTTTTCAGTTAACAGAACTCTTGTATTTTTCGTTTAGAATTAGATTTCGTTCGATTTATAATATCGCGGGTGGTTAAATAACGTCGGTTTCATCGGCCACGACCGCGGTGAAAATCGACGGCGAAATAAAATGTGCGGTCTTTCGGTTGCAGCTTCCGGCGTTAAACAGAACGGCGTCATCGACACTTTAAAGGACGAGATGAACGGCCGCGGAAGTTCATTGGTGCAATATCCCGACAATCTGAACTTCGCCGACCTTTACTACTTTATCTTCGCGCCCACCCTGTGCTACGAGCTGAACTTTCCCAGGACACAGAGGATCCGCAAAAGGTGAGTGAATTAAAGTCTCGATTTTTATGCTTCGATTAGGGCCTGATTGTGACACTAAATACACCGAGAGAAGAATATTTTGTATAATATATTTAGTATCTGTAACTATAATTATCATAGTGAAAGAGTTATAGTATATACACACACAAAAATTAGTATTAATTTAAAGTTCATATTTTCATATATAAGAATACATAATTTTAGAGGAAGATAAAATTTGCTTATAAATGAAGAATTTCTATATAATTCCATTACAAATATCGATTTTTCGCTTGCTCGCGATCTGCTCCGAAAGCCTTATCGATCGTATCTTTTCTCGTACATTTACGCACGATCGATCTTTTTCATTGGACTTTTTCTTGCGGGACGATATGTAGTCATATTTCTGTTTACGTATGCTTTGAGAATCCCACCTGGTTCGCTCCGATCGGGAAGCATCTCAAGTGGAAACTTGATATTGTCTGACTTTGGTCACGCGAGTGTATGCATTGCGTGAGACGTATAAATCCGTGTTTGCTCTCAGATTTCTCGTATAGATTTCACCATGGTGCCCCCGCGATTCTCTCACGTCTTATTTTCTTTTCGTAAAGAATGTCAACAGATGCCGGAGTCGCCGGTTTACGAAACTCAGATTCCAACGAACGAATTCTGTTCCGGGAAGAAAATTTTGCGGAAGAAGAAAATTCTTCCTTACGTCTGACTTTATTGGAAAACACGAATTATCCGTGCAGATTTTATGCGAAAATTCTATCTTATAGCTTTGTAACGATCCAGTATACGTAAATACAATTTAAACGTATTTCCGTATATGTACGATTTGTAGTTATAACCAACGAGTAAAAACGTAACACAAATCCGTATTAGTCTACATTCAGTCTGCACAAAATTTTGTTATCAATCCACTAGTTTAGTCACTAGAGAGAACGAGAGAGGAAGAGAGAGAGAGAGAGAGAGAGAGAGAGAAATTAATCGCAATTGATTGTAATGTATTTGCTAATGTATATTAACGTAAATTATTATAAAATAGCTTAATAATGAACTCTCTCTTAACATTATTAAACGCATATGTATGCCACGTTTTAACCTGTATTATCCTTTTGATATCAGATGATTAGATAATGAGATATTATATAATTGTTATTCAATTATCATTTATATTATTTTAGGAATTTATATTTAGCGTTTGAATTCTTATCTAATAGACGTTTAAGCACAACAGGCATATAAAGTGAGGGCCTTTCTTCAAGTTCGTTCTTCCGAATGTATCGACGCCCTTACCGGTTTTCATAGTACGCTTTACCCCTTTTGTACACTGTTACGCCTCCCGTGCAGCCGCTTCGTCGAAAAGTGCATCCAGACTGTGTTCAGCTTTTCTCGTCGCCGGCAGTTTGCCGGAAACGAAACTCGGGCGGACGACGTACCGTCGAATGGGAACGTCGTTTCACGCGGCGGTACTCAAAAGTCGTATTTTCGATTTTTCCAGAACCGGTTTACGGTCGACAAGGTATGGGAGGGTAACGAGGGCGTAGGTGGAAATTCGTGGGGTTGGCTGAAAATCGGTTTGCGTTGTCGATAAAATCTCTGAGCAAATATATATATACGAATAGTGTGTAATGATCGATGTAATAGAATCAAATATGACGAATTGGGTCAGACGGTAAATCTGATAAAATATTTCGGTGGATTCATCTCTCAATGTGGAACGGCAGGAATATATATTCACACAAATACATATCACAAAAATATAATTAAAAATATTACTCTTTTAATGACATTCCTACGTGACACTGTGTTGAAATGTACAGTCCAGAATTATGCAATAGTTCTGTTCGTAATTTGAGCGCGACGAATATTAAATGGAATTATTGACAGTTTCAAGAATTTTTTTTTCACTTATCAGAGATATAACAATCGCAAAATTTAAATCTTTTTTGGAAAATCGTGACAGGGATTATATGTGCACGAATGTCATCTGATTGACAGGTTTCTTATAAAACGGATAGTGGAGGTCGTCGTAGGATTTCAGGTGGTAATGGCGCTTTTCCAACAGTGGATGATACCTTCCGTGAAGAATTCACTAATCCCCTTCAGCGTAAGTATTTCATCACATTTTCTTGTATTTTTCTGATAACCCAAAAATGTCTCTTTTCTCTCCGTTCCTTTCTTCCTGAATCATTTAACACACATACGAACATACACTCGCTTTATGCCATTTTTCTCGGGATAAATCGATTTCGCCCACCGTATCGTCCACCTTTACACCTGCCATTATTCTCGAATAGTGTGAATAATAATCTATGGATGTGTCTCAGCTAATATCTTCGGCTCTATCACGAGAGCTAATTATTTATCGCGGTAATTATAAATAAGTCGGGCTAACCACGAGAGCGAAACGGCCTGTAAGATAGGATAGGAGCCGGGAGAAGAGCAGAAGTGTAATTTGGTTTCGGCAAATAGGTGCGATCAATCTCCCGAGTAATGCCCGGAGATTCGATACGCGCAAATATACGACAAATTCTATACTGCCCGCAACAGCCGTCTCCTCCCTTACCAAATTCTGTCGCGATAAAATATGCAGGAAAAAGGTAGCTGTTACGCGAACCCCGCGGACGTAGTAATGTTGTTCTGAGTTACACCTGTAGGCAATATATTTACTCGCAATATAACGTTGCATAATATCACCGGTATGGAGTAAATTACATTTCTTAAAATGCTAAACAGATGCGGAAGGAAGGGAGCTAAGAGTTTCAGCGACATGCACAAAGCATATTTTTTATCGTTTACGTTCGCTCGGAAGTATCGCTGGTATATTTCACGATGTTAATAACTTTGTTGCGAGAATTCGTGATGTCTGCGTGCATTGCAACGACAATAGCACTGCAAAACGTTCCCAGGGAATGCGATGTATATCCTATTTATTTTCGCGATAATACAGCAGTCTTGGTGAAAAATAAGCTAAAGTAAGAGAAAAAGAGTAAACGTTAACGGTACGACGCGTTTTTCTCGTTCGCTCCGCGCTAATGCCCAAGGTGCGCCATCGGTTTTTATCTCTCGCCAAGTTAAATCCTCCTTCTTGATTTGATAATTGTAGCCGGCGCTACGAGGAACGATGTGGATCAATATTTTTATCACAAACACGTTTGCCATCGCACCTACCTGCAGCTAGACGAATTGTTTGAGTAATTAGCGATCAAAATTTCTGAATATTTCACATATTCGCAAAAATTTAATCTTATTTATCGGAATATTACTTGAGCTAGTACGAGATTCTTTATTTAAACAACGTTATATTATATAAAATCTGAATCTAAAATCTAAATGTAAGGTCTTTTATACAATTCATCTTTCGAGGCATGTGCGCATAATTAGACGTTACAATCTGTTACAGTAGTGATATTTTCCGCAAAGAACCAGAGGTAAAGAACACTTTCCTCTTATTGTCGCATAATTAATTTCATAATGATTAAATATACATATACGATACAACACGTGATTAAATATACGACACGTGTTATATTAAAAAGAAAAATCCTCCCTCCCTATAAATTGATTTTTATTAAATTTTTCCGTGAAAAAAAAAATTATATATATATATACATAGATAACGAGAAGACGTGGCATATTTTAAATTAATTAAAAAAATCAGCACCGGAGAGACGGTTAATTAGCCAATTATCAATCGTTACCGGTGAGGTGTAATAAACGAATCGCTTAATTAAATAAGCCGTATCGGCGGTAAAGCGGAATTGGGGTTGAAGGAGCCAATTTAAAGCGTTAATTAGAGGAATGCGAAGAGAGCACGTGGTTTGATATTTATATGTACCTTCTAGTCGCGCACGGTGCGCTTGTTCGGGATCGCTTTGATCGCTTGATAACGAGGAACGCGTCAATACACATTGGGCCAAGAGTGTGTCGCGACGTTGGAAATTTTCCGTGGCGTGTCCGTGAAAGGGCTATGGATTTAAATGGGTCCTTTTACGTGGCCAAGCTAAACCGCAACTGATCCGCGGCCAGCGTCCGCGGTTCACCAGCTACGCCCATATTTCGTACGTAATGCTATCGAAAATCCCGACCCCATCATCGATTCACTAAAGATATTAATAATTCAACCGTTCCGTAATAATACCAAGTGCGATATAGATTCCGTTAAATGTGCACGCGGGGATTTTTTCCCCCTGCAAATGTGGACTGTCCGCGATGAAGCTGGTTTGATATTTTTACCTTATCCCTCTTCGTCGGCAGTCGACACATTTAATATAGAATCTAGAAAAACACAGATGAAAATACAATAAATTTTTTTATTAAATTTCATCGATCCAAAGCGCCCTTTGATTCGCAATTACTTGTGCAAATATAACAAAAAACAGGTTAGCAAAATACGAGTCGCGAACAAAATATTTCGGACGTCTGTTCATACCAGAAATTTCGATTTCAGCTGCCAATGTGATTAAAAATTAATTACAGCACGTATTGCGTATATCCTGCGTAGTTGTTATATAAAAACAAACACGTATATTTTGATACGAATTTAATAAAATGTCAAATTCGGAGCGTCAGGGTGAAAATTTTAAATTGAGAAATCAACCTGTATGTGTGTTGTATATATATATATATGTTTTTTTTTAACTGAAATTCGCGCTCGTAGCGCGCCATTGGAGAGAGCAATCTCTTCGAAGTGCCTACCATCAGTCTGGTCTGTGCATTCCCATGTTACTCACAGTTGGATGCATTGTTGCGGAACTTCACGGGTGGTGGCTGCTCCTTTCCATAACGGCGTCGGAACTTCCGCATTCGCGATTAGGCAGTCCGACGGCATGTTCCGTCCCTCCCTGGTACCCCTCCGTTGCATTCGGGACTACATCGCGCAGGATTATTAACCGTTTCCATCGCCTCGAAACGCGATCGACTCGCGAGCCACTCAGCGGGAAGCCGGTCCCGCCCGTATGATTTCACGCTGCGGACAAATTGCTTCTGCAAATCGTTTAGTGCCCCCCCCCCCCTTTCTGCCTCCTCTTTCCCTCCTCCATTTCCCAAAGAGACTCGAAGGAAACGCTTCGACGGGACGCTGGAAGTACCGGCGGCGGCTAAGAGTGGCGTGGTGAGGCTGCCGCTTCTCCACCCCTTCGCGATAGAGGCATTCGAAATCGCGATATCGACCGAACGCAAAGTAATTGCCATGCTAGTTACAGGGAAGTTAACGCCGGGGAGAAACGGTAAAGCTACCCCTTCGCTCATTTCAACCCTACCTGCCCTCCGCGCTCAGGACACCCCCTCGCATTCGCCACGCGTGCTATTCTTTCTCTTCGCCCGGCGACAAATTGGATCTGATAATTGCGAGTCGCGATTACGACAGTCACGTCCTCGATCCGGCGTCCAGCTGGCGCTGAGAGACGCTCGCTTCCCTCGATTTAGCTCCGGCGTGGTCTATCACTGTCGCCGAGCGCGGATGTCACGGGAAGACGAGGAGGATGTAGCCCGATGGCGGGTGGGGGGAGCTTGCGAGATTAAGAAATCTACAAGGATATTGCCTTCCTTCCGCCGGATCCGTGGAGTCGCGAGCCGAGAGAGGGGAAAATTGATAACTGCGGATGATGCTTGTCGGAGGGTAATCACTTTTTACCGGCGTGCTCCTCCAGGCTGAGTCTCGTTATTCTTGCAGAGTGGAATGAATGGATAAGAAAGTCGGCACGGGTCGCGCGACCGGAAATCTCCGCGATTCCCTCCGGCGAGGAGACGATTAACCCTTACAATTCCGGAAAATCCGTTGCAGCGCGTCCGCGTTCTTGGTAGTAATATTTGCTTCTGTACGAACGAATTTTTCATACGCCACGTTTACATGTGTGCTTATTATAATATCTAAAAAATATACAAGAAATGTGTGTGAAAAGATGTACTTGTTGTTTTCTTTTTATACAACTGTAGTTTTTGTTATATAACAAACATCATAATGAAACATCATACTGTTGAATATACCTCTCATCGATATTCGATCAAACTGTCGCTCAACCCTAGCGGTGACGGCAAAATTTAATTAATATCAATTAAATTTATTTCATATTTTTAACTTATTTTTTTAAAAAACCGCAGCGCACAGTCAATTAGCATCGCAAAAAGAAAGACTTTATCTCATGTTTGAGATAAGAATAGAATTCTCAATTGGTATCGTAGTAACTTATTTTTGAGACAACTTCAAATACTCTAATTTTGAATCTATGTTGTATATGGGAAAATTTGGGAAAACTTCTATGCGGGGAATGTGTAGTTTCACTCGCTTCGATTGTATCATCCTCTTTCGCTTTTACACTGGTTTCCTTCTTATATTATTTCGCATTTATCGTCATAGTTTTTGCTTTCTATCGGCAACCGGTAAATTCGTTCAAAAGACACCGAAGGCGGGGCTTGGCGTATTCTGACAACGTTACGTTGAAAGATATCAACGGTTCTTACATCATGAACGTGCAACTATTGCTTCCGTTGCTACCATCTACAGAATTGCGCGGCATTTTGCCTTGCAGATCGATCGAGCGATCGAAAGGTGGCAAAGAGGATGCATCGAGCTTCGGCTTATCGGCTCACTGCATACTACAGCTTAAAGGGACGAACGTTTAAAGGATTTTCGGGGGTGCGTCGAGGGCGGTTACTGCCTCGAGAAGCACGCGGCTTTATGGCAGCCATCGACCAGCATATGGAGTATCGATTTCCTAACACGCGCTTTACCGTCGCGCACATGCTCTCGCACAGTCGTTATTTAATTATATATGTATGTACATACAATATGCACACATATATGTACACACAATTTCTATTATATTTTATTAGTGTGCACAAAAGAGGCATTCTTCTCTTCGCGAGAGTCGCCCACTTCCTCCATAGTCGTAGTTTTTCTTCGAGAAATTTCGGGAATTTTCAATGAAAATTCAACCGTTTACGAGAAGATCGTTTACTTGTGAAAAAATCTTCAGTTATTTGTGCGCTATTTTCAAGTTTCCCTCTCTGTTTCTCTCTCTCTTTTTCTCTCCGCTTCTCTGGCCTGTCGAAGCTTGCCGGGTGCACGGGTCAAGGGGCGGTGAGTTGGGAAAAGCTGCACGGCAT